GCTAGCAATTGCATACATAAGTTGGCGTACAGAAAATGATTGTCATTTTGTGATGATAGTCGTTTTAGTGGAAAGAAAACTGGAAAACGAAAATCACATACATGGGTTCTCAGTTCTGCAGCTTCGTGCCATGCATGGTTTCAATGCAAGACATACCTATTGGAAGCATATCTCTTCTGAGTATCACAGTAGCATCTGTTCACACTCTGACCCTGTAAAGGAATATAATGACTCATTTATGTGTTTTCAATTTTCAGACCATGTTGCTCCAGCAATCTGAAACTTGAGATTCCTTTTCTTATTTTGTAACTAGTGTGGGCTCCATGAGTTGTTGCTTGAGTACAAGAAATAAGATACTTCTTAGTTCACAATAATGTGTGACTTGTTAGAATTTTTACATTAAATATAGAATCCTTTTCTGAGACTGATATTTAGATCTGATTTTTCACATTAGAACTGGAAAAATTTGTGGCTAAATGAAGTCTGATGATTTTAAGCCATATCACGTAGAGAATCAATAGTTATTCATACAAATTAATGAGGCATGTATTTAGTTTACTACTTGTTGGTTTGGCTCGCCATATTGCTTTAAATCATGGCATCAATGTTTCAATAGATAATAGGCCTTTGTCTGGGAAAAATTAAATATTGGAATATATATTTATTGGAATATATATATATATATATATATTCATCATTGCCTTGCTATATATTAAATGTCATTTAAAATTACACAGTATTTTCATATTTATCTTTATTTAGGGTTTTTCGATCAAAAATAGGAAAAATTATTCTACAGATATTTATAGTTTTACACAATTTTAAACTAGGTCTTTATAGTTTATTTTGTTTTAATCAAACTTTTATAATTTGATAGATTAAATATGTTAGTCCCTAATTGTTAAAATCTTTTAATTTTTCTTTTAAAAATGAATATTAAGGGATTCTATATTTTTATTAAAAAATATTATATAATTTTAGACTTAATTTAACAATTTTTATAATTCAAAATTTATGTAATTAGGTTATGCTTTCTAAATAAATTTTTAATATATATAATTTTTACAAAAAATAAATAAAAATGTAAGTATTGTATTAAATTAAAATTTTTTGACTAAAAACATTAAATCAAATTTTCTATGAATTTTAAAATTTTTTTAATTTTAAAAAAGTCAATCATTCATTAGTAATTTTAATTTGGGGACAAATACATTTAATCGATCAAATTATATGCACTTGATTAAAACAAATAAACTATAAAGACATAATTTAAAATTGAAAACAATATAAGGATCTGTGGATTAGTTTTCTTTCGAAAAAAAAAAAAATCTTGTCAATTATACCTCCAATTAAAGGCATTTTTTTTTAAAAAATCTTATTAACCAGAAATGCCTTGTGCTTTTTAATATAATATTTAAAAATATTTTATAATTTTGAATGGAGTAATTTACTTTGAAAATATTATGATTTCTTTTAACAATAAGATTATTTGATTGACATATTTTTTAAAGCTTTGCTTTTACGATACAAAAGCCACCTAGCATGAGACTCATGGAACATCTGAGCATTTGAAGTATTTCAATATTATAAATAGAATTTAGATACAGTATTTATGATGCAAAAGTCAATTCAAAAAGGAAAATCAATACCAAGTCAAGACCATGTAAATTCAAAAAGGGATCATTGTAATTTTTGACTTTATAATTACATTCAATTGGCCATTTGATCATAATTGTTTAAAAAATTATAATTAAATCTTTATAATTTACTTAAGCTATAATTTAATCCTAGTCACTGCCTTTTGTTAATATTTTGCTATAAATTTGAGTTAACTTTAGGCTGTTATTTACGGATTTATACAATTCATACATATTTCAATGATGTTAAGATAATATAGGGTTCATTGTACTGAGGAGAAAAATAAAAAACTTATAACGATCCAATCATAAAATTTCAAGATAAAAACATCAAATTAAAAATTGAATAAAATTGTAGGGACTAGACATAGAACTTTCCTATCAAAAAAAGATAATTACACTGGACTGATCTCGTGAATAAAGCACCTTATTAAAAAAAAAGTTAATATTATGTTTGAATGCATGTGAATTTAGATTTGAATTTAAATTTAAGTTAAATTTATTGTTTGAGTAATTAAAAATATTTTAATTTAAATTTAACCTAATTTATTTGTAATTTTAAATTCTCTTTAAACTGTTATTATTTCAAATTTAATAGGAGCTTTTCTTTTCCTTTGTTCATGTTCGTTCATCGATTTTAATTATAACCGTTGGCGTCGACTAGAATCGGATTGCAACCGTTGTCCAATCCCCATCGTTGGCTATCCAGTTACAACCAAGGCGGGGACTGGATAGCTAGCGATGACCAGGACGTGACCCCCTACATCATCTATCCAATGTCATCATCTGGTGTCAGTCTGCTACAACCATTAGGTGTTAGTCTATTGCATTCAACCTATGTCTATTCATCCTCATCATCCCATCCAAGACTGGTCTATGATTAGTATCTTCTATTTGTTTGCCTTCGTCATTTGGTGCCAAACGCTGCTCTCAACAAGAATGTTCTAGTGTCGTTATCCATGTCCAATTCTCAACCTTTGGATTGCTATAATCATCATGTGCTAATCCTTATTTGTTGTCTTGAATTATTTAAGATTCAAACAGAATATTTTAAAATTATAATTTAAATGTTTTTATGTCATTTAAACAAAAAATTTATAATTTATGAATTTTAAATGTAAGATTTTAAATATAAAATTTTAAATTTAAATTTTTAATCTAAATTCACTTATTCAAAAATGCAACCTAAATGTTTTCAAGGACAAAGGACTTCCTAGTTATGCAAAATATCTTTTACCGAAATCTTCACAATAAAATTATCACAGTCAATTACTTATTCTCAAAACGATGAACCCAAATTCACAATTGATGGGCAATAAAGATAACATCATAATCACAAGGCTTGAACAACCTTCCATCGCACAGATTACACGCACATAATTGTACTCCTTTTTTGGAGTAACTTGGGGATCGATCTTAGAACTCTTTACATCAAGGGAGAGATAATGCTATTTGAGCTACATCATTAATATAATTTATACTTTCTCTATCTCAAATTATAAAACAATTTTAAAAAAATTTCTTTATTTCAAAATATGGGACAATTTAAAAAAATAAAGTTTGATCATACTCTTTAAATATTATTCTTTAAGTGAGGAGAGAATTGAAATAATATTATAATATAATAATTAGGCGTGTGAAAATAGTTTACATAAAAGTTAGAGCTTTATATACGACATTTTGCCTTGAAAATTATACGATGTGGGCCTAATGAAGAGATGCAGCAAATAGAATATGTAGTCCTCATGTTTATTTATTTATAGTTTACTTGATTCTGTTAGACTGAGTTTTGTTCTTTGCACAGTGTCTCTAGTGCTTGGTGGATTTGTTCAGCTGTATGAACTCAGTAAAATCTTTCTTGATACTGAGTCTATTGATTAGATGAGAGATGAAAATGCAAATTGATGTGGAAAATAGTTTATATGCCTTGATGCAACCTTGAATGTACAGAAATAATCTATTTCCCTAAAATGTTTTGTCATTTTTCTTCAAATTTCAAAAGGAATAGTGTTGTAATGTTCTTAGGAGGAGAAACCAGTGTAGTATGTTTTTATGCATGATCAAGATGAATATAAAAATAATAAAAAATGATTTTATTAGTTTCATTGAGATAATTAATTCATGACTGCCTGCACCAACTTTATTTGCCTGCTTTGTGAATTTACTCTTAAACGCCAATATTTTTTTTAAAAAAATGACAGAAAAATTGCTCTAAAATATGCAAATATCTTATGCTTCATCTTTTCTTTTCTTTCTTCTCTCTCTAATCAGCACAGACTATAGGAACTTTTAGATGGACTAGAATTAGCATGGTGCCTTGGCTAAAGGAAAATTCCATTGGAAGGATCCTAGCGGTCCATCTAATGACCCCAAATGAACCAGAGAACGTGTGGCTATTAAATTAAGAATTGTATGTAAAATTCTCATAATACTCCAGGGGAAATGAACATTAGACATTAGACATGCTTATTGCAAGATTAACAGGTGTATTGACTTTATGGTTACATCCACAAGATTAACAGATTTATTGACTTTATGGATACATCTCACATTATGTTTAGAACTGTGTTCATTATTTTGATACTAATTGAGTGGGATTCTCAATATTTGAATGATATGATGACACCCAAACAGTCACGCATCCTTGTATGTGTTCCGGTAATGTTCTTATTGGAAGACCGGTTCCTGAAAGACTTATATTTCGCCAACTTATCCTGATTGAATGGTGTTCGTTTGCTTAAAAGTTTGCACCTTAATTGAGTAACTCTTCCATAAATATTCAAATACTTGATTTTTTTTTTTTAATGTTCCAGACTCGTCATAACTCACATGCTTCAGCATGCTGTGTTAAATTGATTGAGTACCTGTCTACTCAATAATCTCTTCTTAATTGAGTTTGCTCTCTTCAACCACTCAAGTAACAAAATATTGTAGACAGGTGTGCGGGTGGGTGTGATCATGTGTGTGTGTCTGTTTTGTGTGTGGAACAAATTCACATATGCCCCCTTCAAATTATTCATTTACACATGTCAATAATTTGATTTAACATATCATAAAATGAATTTTATTAAACAAATGAAAAATGAGAATTATGATAATATTTATAAAACGGCAAAACTTATATACTTAAAATTATGTCTTTAATATGTTTTTTTTTTTTCCAATAACTTGTTGCCATTTGGATGCTCTTTCGAGCTCATAAATTCCCTCATTTAAACACTCGTATCTCCCTCATCTTTGCGTCATGTCTTATTACTTAAATTAAATCGCTAAAACCTTTTGAGGTTAAAAAAGAAAAAAAAGAAAAGAAAAGTTGCTACTTGAAATCACAAGCCTAGCTAGCTAACTCAAAAAACAATCCAATGACAGAAATCTTCTCTAACAAGAAGTAATATTTGTGAAACTTTTTAAATGAAGGTCTACATTGATAACGATTTACCTAACCATCAAAGATGAAACTAAAATAGACCTGTTAGAGTTAAAAAAGACAACGGTTTTTTAAGCTAGAGGTTGATTATTCAATTGTTCTGTTAAGGCAATTGCACACAGCCAAAGCGTCACCGCTTTCAAGCTTATGCCCTACCCTTGTGGCATAAGTGATTAACTAGTTGGAACATGGCTTCACACATGCTACACTTTTGAAGATACACTAATCCAAAACGAAATCATCAATAGATCAAATATCAAAGGTTCAATTCTACTGGCTGCAAACTACAAAGTCATTGATATGGAGTCCTTTCCATTTGAAGATGAAGGGCACAGCATTTCAAACGGTCTTTGCATTGTCCCGTCTCCCGAGCATCCTCTACCTGAACCACCATCTCTGGATCGCCGATAAAGGAGTATTCAACGCCGGAGCATGGCGGTGGATGAATGGGGTCACGATCCTCCCAATTTTAGCCCAAACACTTTGATGGTAAGGAGCAGTAACAGGAACTTGATACATGAGCTTCAAAACCTGTAAAACGAATTTTAGGCAAAGCAAGAGAATACTTTGCGTAAGATCTGATACATCTCACTATATTATAACTTGACTTAATTATAATTGTATCCCATAAGTGTTTGGAAAATCATACCATAAAATCTGGGAAACGTAAATATAAACTAAGGCCCCATTTGGCAGGTAAAATAGGATGCAATTAGAAATAAAACGCAATGAAAAGGAAAGAAAAATTGGGATAATTAAATGACCCTCGTGGCCACGCTCTTAAAAAAATATTAAGAGATATAAACTGTTTAGATTTTTACTTCTACCTCTCTCTCTCCATTGATAAACCAAACATGCACCAAGATATGCATGTACATACATATATTCATGTATTTATGTATAAATACTGCTTTTTCAAGATGTATTTTGCAAAGATATCATCAAATTAATTACAAGACAGTTACGCCTTTCTATGATAAATCCACACATCACATGGACAAAAAGGCAATTCAATATCTATTGACAACTAGTTGAGAACAGGAATGACAGTGAGAAAATGAAACAAACCTGCCAGTACATGAAAGTCTGCAGTATGTTGCGCTGCCACCTGCATATAGTTATAAAGAATATTAGACAAAAATTGAAGCATTCAATATCCTCAATAAAAAGGAATCTGCAGAAAGGGAAAACTAGGGATAAAATAGGGGGAAAAGATCAGGAAACAGACGATAGTAGTGATACAATCAGAAGGAAGCCAAGTCCAATCTCAGCATGTGAAGACACGATATAGAGGGTTGTCGTATTTGATTCCACCCAAACACAAGTCTCTTCCAAATATTTCCTATCCAAATGAAAAATATAAACACATATCAGTTATTGGTAACTTACAGGAAATTACATTCGAATTAAATTTGAGAAAAGCAGAAAAAATTGCAATCAGGGCAAAAAGAGTAGAACATCAAGGATCTCCTACAAATCTTTACAGCTAACAATTTCTGTTTTAAATTGTGATTTATCTATGAAATAATATTTAATACTCCCTCCGTTCAAAAATGTAAGGCATTTTTAACCAAATCTCACCTCCTAATAAAATAGTTACCTACTTTCAAGTTAACCCTATCTTTCCACATTTACCCCTACTAAACACCCTATAATAAATATAAAATCACTATCAATAGGGCCATTTGTGAAAGAAAAAAAAAGCAATGATTACACCTCGAAAGACTAAAAATGCCTTAAATTTTTTTAACAGAGGGAGTAGTTAACATAGATCCGTCTGTCACACTTTTTCCTTTTTCCCTCATCAGCATGATATCTCTATATTCTATTTGTATATAACTGATCCTACAAATATCTTAGAACTGAGGGGGGGGGATGAGTACCGAGAATCAAAATGAAGGAAAAACAAATGGATGGAAAGTTCTTGTACTTCCTCCGTCCCTATTTGTTAGTCTCAAATTTTAGATTTCTTTGTCCCTGAAGGCAAGTCTCAGTTCAAAGTTCTAGGTGTGATTAATGAGTTTTTCCTAAAATACCCTAATGGAAAATTAAAATTATTATAGGATGCACATTCCAATGAAGCATTTGATTAAGGGCAAAGGAAGAAGTAACCACACAGCATGTAGACAACTACATACTTGCAATTAAAAGAACCAGAAATTGACAAAAATAACGAAACTGAAAGAGAAAGAGAAACCAATAACAAGGACAATAGACAAACCATAGAGCAGAACTGGGAGGGCACAGAATTACAATTCTGAAGCCTAATGCTTTCCAAGTAAATGAATTTATGAAACAAGAGAGAAGTCTTATGCTTGATGAGAACAATATTCCACCTACTAGCAATGATATTTTAATTACAAGCTACTGACACTAAGAATAAAAAGCTAATTATGCTGATTGCTGGAGGTCATTGTTTGAAAACTAAAAACATCAATTTTGCTCCTTGTCTCTGAAGTTATAGTTTGAATATTTTATGGAAAAGAATAAGTAGTTATTGGTGGTTTCTTGAAGGTTTGAAACAACTCATTATCTATTTATTGTTTAAAAATCTCAATTATGAATATTTCAAATTAGAGCATAGTTACTATACCCGAACTCACTAATTCCTATTGCCTATTTTTTAGATAATTAATTTTTTTATTGGCAGATAATTACTTTAATTTTAAAGTCAACACCATTTTAACAAGATACAACAACAACAAACCTTATCCCAATAGATGGGGTCAAAATTTTAACAAGATAAAAAGAAAATTTTATTAGTATATAACGTTTCTGTTTGAAAAAATATAAAGCAGAGACAAGAAGTGAAATGTTATACAGAGTATGGTGCATGTCAAGTCATTAGTCTCTAATTCTACAATACATCTGTACTCGCAACTCAGCTGCCCAAATAATTAGTAAAACAGAGTCATGCTAGTTCATGAGACCAAAACAACAAATATTTACATGATCAAAGTACATTAAATTTCACCTGTACAGAGTGGATCGACTAAAATTATGTCTAAGGAACTTGGCAACATGCTCCAGTGCCCGACACAAAATGGGGATCAAAGCAACTTCAACAAAAATTTAAACAATAATTAGAAAAAGGAAAGACAACAAAGTGACATGGAGTAATAAAAGTATTGATGGCAGTAGAAAATGTCAAGAAACAAACAAAAATCCATGAATCAGTGGCTCAACAAATGCTCACGTTTAAGGCAAAGATGTGAAGTAACAAACGAAATGCAGTATATTAAGTATATAAAATCCTTTGTTCCAACTATTGACTGCAGATACATTTGCAAGGCCTGCAAATTCCATGCTCTTGGCTTCTGCAATAGCACAAAACAATGTAGTATAAACAGATAGACATGAAAACATTAATGAAATAATACAACAATGGGTTGGAACAGAGAACTTACTCCATAATGCGAGTACAAGGAGTATAGAGAAGAGCATGCAGTGCCCATAAAAGAAAGTCGATAAGCTCTTTGTGAAATACTCCTAGGTACCAGTGGAATGACAGCAAGCATAGCAATAACAAACACCTATATGAAGAGATTCCAGAATTGCATCAAGGTTGACAATACAGATGAGTAAACAGCTTGGCAGCAAGGACAAAAACTGTCTTCTTTTTTTCATTAAATCTTTCATATCATAAAGGTAACATAGGTCCATGGAGCATATGACAAATGAAACAGTTGATTCAAAGTTATCATTTATTCAAGAGATGGGGGGTTTGGGGGATTATTTGCAGGCTAAAGAAATGGATTTGGATATATCCAGAAATGCTCATTGGTGCCACATAATATTTTGCCATAGAATACTTGTTTTTTGCATCAGATGAATGATAATGATCATCATATGGTCAATCAACACATCTATAACCACTCTCAAACCAACTTCAGTAAAAAGTAGGATGCTTTGCTTATACATACAAAGCACAGGCTGCCTTTAAAATCAGTAAACTCATAAAGTCACATAACTTTGATAAATATTGATATTCATGGTGCTAATTGAATGCGATTGATAGCTAACGAAGTTCTGACATATTAGATAAAGTGATATGAATCTTCTATCAACACAAACGTGAACAAAGAATTTAGCATCAAAACAGAGGATCTATGACACGAATATGAGAAATTCCTGATACAGGGCTTACCATACCCACAAAGACAAGCTCAGAGAATACAAGTCCAGTTGGCATGGAGAAAAGTGATATACTCCCCTTTTCTCTCCTTTCTCAGATTTTCCTTTACATATCCCTGTTAACTGCATTTTAACTTGTCCCTCCTACTCTTTCATCATATCTCTATTCTTTTTCTCTTAGGATTTTCTGCTTTTCTTCATTTATTTTGGTGGGCTATTAGTCCCACTTTTCTCTCCCTCTTTTGCTCCCTGTCTCCTATTATCTGTTTTGGCTACACAGGTGGGTTGAGTCCCATTAGCAATAGAGGCTTAGAGCCCATAATTTGGGCAAGCTGGGTTTATTCGGGTCGGGTTTAAAACATCCTACCCTCTTTATAAAAGCCCATATAGCCAAGCTTGAATCTAATTTTTTCCAGCTGAGTTGGGCTAACCTGTCAGGCTTGGCTAAAATTACCAATTCTATACATATACATAGAGCTGGAAATTCCAGCAATCGAGTTTATTCAGACCGGATTTAAAGTATCATACCTTTTTAAAAAAATCCATATAGCCAAACCCGGTCCTAACTTTTATCAGGCGAGTTCGGGTTAGCCCGTCGGGCTTGGCCCAAATTATGCTCTAATTAGCAGTTATCATTCAGCCAATGTATTGTAGATTGTAAACTCACTATTTTGACAAGTAAGCCCCAAAACATGAAATAAGAAATAACACAATTTTCTGATTGCTAGACATATAGAGTAAACTTATACTAATTATGTCATTCCTAAATATAACATTCTTTTTCTTGCCACAAGGGAACACAATGGGAATTTGAACATTTTAAAAAAAAAAAAATCTACTCCACAATGTCATTAATTGATAAATAACATCTTAAATGAAAATTTTACTAAAAACATAAATATTCAACCAAGCATTCAGAAACAAAGTAAATGAAGAAAAAAGTGATTAAGACATGGTCATTAGATGTTCATAACTTCAGATGCAAGGCAAATCATAACTAATTATCACAAATGAATTTATATGTGAAGAGTGCTAAGTCAAAAGACTTTACCCAAGCATTGGCAGAAAAATGAATTGTCTGCCACTCCCAACGCAAAGGAGCTGGATTGGAACCTGAGGTCGCAGATGTTCCTGAAGTTCTATTTGTTGATCCTGTTCCTGCAGCATCAAGGTTGTTTATACATTCGACATAAAGAAAAAAATCAAGCTCACATCCAAGGAGGGCCAAAGGATAGCAACTATCAAGATGCAGTAGGCTTCATAGAATCATTTCTTTTTTCTTTTCACTTTCCTTTTCAAATCTTCCACAATTATGATAAAATTGCAGAAACAGAATTTACCTGAGTTTCGTGTATGAGCTTGGCCACTTCTTGGTGGTGGTGTTTGTGATGATGATGTAAACGATGATCGTGTTGACTGGGATGAACTGCCAGTAGACATTGGTTCTACTATGAAATCAGGATCCTGTTTAACATTGTAAAATTAGGAGCATTGCATAGTAAAGATTAAAAAAATATATATGAAATCACTTACATCTATAGCTACTTCAAAACATTACTTCAATAATCTATAGAACGATTGCTATTTTGTAGAAACAGTAAATCAGATCTAAGGAAAGAAACTGGAAAATATGAACTAAACAAATTGTCCCCCATTTATCTTGGACTAGAAGATCAATGTCTAGTCTCATTAAAGCATCAATAGAAGCAAGATTGATCAACAGTTGAAATTTGAGATTAAAAAGTACACCATAAAAAGCAATCACTACTTCTATTGAATTGATTAAGAGGTTGGCTATAAACATATTCATCACAGGTTTAACCCAAGTTCATTCACAATAAGCCAGATGAAAGGATAGTCCAACGGAAGTTTATTTTTGAGGAAACAAAATCAAAGAGTTCATCTCCTCATATTAGGTTATAGGTCAACGAAACATGATGTAGAAGGAGATAATCATACAAGCATAAAAAGCAACTAAACTGATGGGCTTAGGACACACAAACAATATAAATAACAAATACTGTGAAAACTAAAAAAAAGTCTCATTCATATTTAATCTTGAAACTCGAAGACTTCAAGTCCAAAGGTGCAAACTCGTTAAAACACGTATCATGAAGCCGGGAAAACAAAACGCCTAAATAAAAAATAACCAGCACCGAAGCAGAACGGCAGAAATTGCAAATAAGACAGACAGCCCAAATTAGAACCCATCATACAAGGGCTCAAGTTGAGAATTACGAAGAAAATACAACCAATCAAGAAACAAAGAACCAAATAAACTTGGTGTAAAATTCATTAGTTTCAGAGAATAACAAAAATGCACATGCACAACAACGATCAATCAAACATTCTTTGATCGAAGCGGAAATGACTGACAATGTAGCGTTGGTAGAACTTGCGCTTGTAGTGATTGACAACATCGGAATTTGACGCCATATGAGAAGGCACAAGAACATTCAACCAGTAATCGGCCCATCTTGGATCGTTCTCGTAGTCGTACGCCGCCGCCGCCATCTTCTTGAGCTTTTGAGGGTCTTCCGCCATTGGAATTGTGAACGTTGATGTCTCCTCCAAGTCCTACTGACTTTGGCTGGCCAGTAGTTCAGCTTGACGTTTGTTTCACGGAGATTTCAGCCAAGGGCTAGGGATATAACGTAATTGTTACCCCCAAAAAAAAAAATGCCAAAATTTTAATTTAGTGGGACTGAAATAAAAATAATTTTTTTAATAAAAAAGTTAAAGTACTGTTTATTTATCAATTTTGTTTGATATATCATTAGCTGTGTTATGAATAAAATAGAGAAAAAAAAAGTGAGATGAAAGAAAAGAAGATGAAGAAAAAATATAAGCAATAGAAATAACAACAATTTCCCTTGTATTCTCTTCCATCCATTACAATACAAATAGCGTGCTTTATTTAAAGACATGATCTTGTATCAAATATTATACAGATGATAATAAAAAATAAAAAGTAATCAACACTCGTTAAATAAGTTATCATATATATAATTTTTGGAAGTATATTTTTCTAACACATATTCAGAATACAACACTTTTCTCAAAATATTATATCTCTTTTTTAAATATATTAGTTCACTAGGAACTAAAATTTGCTAACAAAATTATATCATATATACAATATTAGCTAAATATATAAATATATGATACTTTAGGATCAATCAATTCAATATAGTATTGTAAACAAATAAATATAGCATAATGATTTTATAGCTATTGGGTATTAAATACTAAATCAATAAGTTGAATGTAAAGTCAACATCAAAATTTTATTCTCAAATTCTTTTAATCAACAACACCTATCAATTTTTCAAAAACTTATTTGCTGAGACACACACACACACTTGAACTATTTTAATTCATACAAGCTTAAGAACATAAGCATGTATATATGTTGAATAATTTTCTTGAAAATTTTTCATGCTTCTAACATTTTAACTCTTTCAAATATTATCATGTAAATTCATTATGTAATGAGTAATATGGATAGGTTATAATAATATTGTATAGACTTACATCATATTTAAATTTTATATAATGCTAGACTAATAATATATATATAAATTCACTATAAGATAATATACTTCATTATTTTTAAATCTCTGTGAAAATATATTTTTTTCACATAAATGTTTATTTATCTTGTAATAACTTTACATTTAAGGTGTTTGGATTGTATGTCTATGATTTTCATTCTTCCAATTGTGACATAACTTTTTTTTATTATTTTTAGTACCTAAACCTCTTCTAGGGTTTTTAGAATCAATTATGTCTTAACCTTCTTCTAGATGTCTGCCTCCTCAATATAATCATCTTAATTATATGCTCCACTTTTACCAAGATTTTGTATTAAAAACTGGTTAATCTCTTGTACTTCACACATGTCTCATTTTCATTTACTCTAATTAGAACATTTTTAGCTAGAATAAGAAATTTACAAATTCTCATATAAGTTAGTGATTGTGTCTAGCAAATTCTTTTGTGATATTTTAGGAAAGTAACATTTGATGAACTTTTGGTTCATATTTTTATATATGAGGATCTAAATAAGATATAATAATAATTCGTTCTAAATATTTTCTTTTTCAGCTACTTGTTTTCTTCCCTCATGTTGGAAAAACTTTATCAAATGATGACAGTTATCGAATCATGCAATAAAATCTTATGTCCATTCGTTTTCTTTAAAAACATTTCTTTGTTTCATTTAGAGACAACAAAGGAGGAGGAGGTTCTTATTCAATATTTATCCCAACTTTCTATAAATAACCATTTATGTGCAATGTGGTGGAACTGATAATAAACATTGCACAATTAAAAATTCTAAGATGGAATTTACTTGGCTCCTAACTAAAAACCAATTTCAAGAAGAGGAATTTACAATATTTTATTGGTTCAATGTGTATTATGATGTAGTTTGTAAGATCAAACATTCTAAATTAATAATGAAAATGTTTGTTCTATAAGCATTGATTTAGCTATTTATAGAGGAGGCTTTAACAAATAATTTTATTATATCACCTTTAAAATAGGCTTTTTTGAAGTCTAAAGTATAAATTCACTAATATTTCCAACTAAAAGTGTTTTTATTAAATAGTCTAGAAATTGTTTGTTTTTACGTAATGATATATGCATATAATCTTATATGTATATAATCTTGCAAACTTCTGGTTGCAAAAACATCTTATAGATGCATCTATCAAATTTATTGAATATTTTCACTATTTACATATTATATAATAGTCCCATATATTTGAATTTGTTATATTTCTAGAAATGGATAAATCCATTATCAATCACAATTAATGAACACTTCATTTTTTTTAAAAAAGTATTGCACATAAAATCTCAAAGTATATACTCAAGAAGAATCTAATTCTTCAATGGATGTCAATGTATATTCTTAATAACCATTTGCATTATATATGATTTGGAATGATCAAATAAGTTATGGAACTAATATTTGTGGTGGATCAGTAAACTTCTAGTTTGCCATAACAAAAATCAATTATAAACATTCTATTTTTCCATAACATGTAATTGATTTATAATATCAATATGCATCCATTGAAAAGATCAATTGAACTTTGAGAGCAAGTTGTGAATGAGACAAAACAATTATATTGTGCTACTGCAATTTCCCCTTCAAATAGGAGTTACATAAACAAATTTATTTATTGTTACATTTTGAAGACAGTGGCCTATATATAGTAAACCAATAGCCTACCTTTCATTAGAAAACCTGAGTGCTTCTCAACTCAAGCAAAACTATGGTTTCAATTTTTTTTCAATTTTTGATTGAGCTATTCATTCAAATCCTTAGCCAATCAATCTTTGATATAAATCTATGATTATATTTTTCATTACTCATCTTTTTTTCAATCATAAAATGAGAGACATTCATTTTAGTTCTGCAAGAAATAATTTCTTCAAAAAATGACATATTTTAACACAAATTAATTTATAAATTATAGCATATTCAATATAATAAACTAGAAATATAAATACAAGTTTACACATATTACAACGATTTTTGATATTTTATTTAAAACTATGTCAAGATTAAATCAATATCAAATATTTATAATAATTATTTAGAAAATTAATATCAATAAGTTTAAATGCTAATAACAATTAAACACCATATAGGTTTTTAGACATAGTCTTCTAGACTTGAATACCATGTATCCTTTTAAGTTTAAACATCACATAACCTTTTGGGCTTGTCATTATTTTTCCTTTTTCTGACAAAAACTTGTCCATGCATTTTCTTATATCACAACATATGACTTTGATAATTTTATAATTATCTTCTACATCCATTAGTATGCCATTGTCCTTTTGGCTTCATAATCAATTTGGACATTTACTTTTAATGAATTTCTTATACATATTTGTTTATATGGCTTCTAACCATATTATAACATTCCCTCATAATTTTATTGCAATACCCATAAAGCATTATTTTTCAACAATTATGGCAAGACAATATCTTTTCAATAGTTGGGACAAAATATTGTTGGCTTGTTAATTTAATAAGGCCATGTTATCATAATCACTATCTCTATTAGAGAGTTGTCCATACTTTCAATAGCACATAATAAATTTCATTGATTATTAGTCTTCAAGACTATAGCAATTTAGATTTACACAATTCTTTCATATCCTTTAATGCCTGAATAATTAACCTTCAAAACTATAATATTTTTAACCATATTCAGAATATCAAAATGACATGAATTTGTCTTGTTATGCTATCTATTAAAACTATAAAATGGGCTTTTACAAAAAAAAATCACTATCAAAATCAATGCGGACCTTTACTCTTCAAGACTATTGTATTTGTAACAATATATTGTAACATTTAGTCACAAATTTTATTTCAATGATTAAGGAAAAGTATGGTTATCTTAAGAATCATGGCAATCCACCTTTTCAATTCCAATACATATGATTAATCGTTATTGACTTTCAATAGTCAATTTGTACATTACATATATGGTTATTATCTTACTCATAAGGAAGCTAAATTTGTCGATCTTTCATATTTGTTAATATTACATCAATTTCATTAAATACTAGTTGTCAAAAACACAATAAAAATAATTTTCAAATCCATTAAAGCTTCTCATGGCATGAAATATTTAAACTATTAACCGTTAAGGCTATATTTTGTATAGCTATCAGATAGCTAAATTGCCAATAAACCCCATGACAATCTTCTCCAAAATAAAAATCTATATGACTCATAGCCATTTAATCTTGAGATGAATATAATATGGCTCTATCGGTCATCCATTAACACATATTCAATACTTTTCTATTGGAGTCATAAATCATTATCAAATTGATAATTACAATCATACTATAGATGAATAAATCTTGAAACATTTAAATGATAAGACATGAAATATAACCATAATAGAAATTAAGAATAGAATCAAAATATCATACCTTTATATGATGAATAAATTAGTGACAAAACTTTCAAGTCTATGACTTATGCAAATTCATTAGAGTCTCATGCTGATAACATGTTATAAATAAATATAAAGAATAGAAATGATATGAAAGAACATAAATGAAGAAAGAATATAGGCTATAAAAATTATAGTAACTTTAACACGATTCAACTAGAAGTAAGATTTATTTAGGAAAATATTGACAACAGTCACATTTGAGAAATTAGTATATTATCTCACAGTACAATAATTTAAAAGTGATGCTATCATAAAGGGAATAAATATGTGCTGTATTCTATTTTCCTTAATCAAGGTTTTTGTCCCATTGGTTTTTCTTGGTTAGGTTTTTAATGAGACAACATTGGATAGCTTACAAATGAATTATGTACTCTTTTCTTTTGTTATATTTTTTTTCCCACATGGTTTTTTCTAATTGAAGTTTTTAATTGGGCACATTCTTATATAATAGACATCCAAGGGAAAGGGGAAGTGCTATGAATATTAGGAGTCATATAGATGTCCATCTCTCTCATCCTTTCATCTTCTCCATGAAACTCCCACCATTTGATGAGTGTTGATTATCCTATATTTTTATTATCATTTGTGTAACCCTTGATGTAAGATCATGCTTATGAACAAGGCATGTTATTT